GAGGGAAGAGCGCGACAAAAAAATTTTCTGGTGAAGATGCGCGGCGGCAGCCACGCTCTCTCGAAAAAATATGAGGCTAGATTGAATTTTCCCATAATTCAAAAAATTGCACTTTTTACAAGTAGAAGTAAATCATCTGCACATTTTCATAACTCATGTACTAACTTTCAGAAACGGAGGGGCCCTACCCGGCCCCTCCCCCTCGGTACGTCACTACTATCACTACTACCAACAGCACGGTTTCAAAAGAGTAAGAACTTTGCATAAATAATGTTAACAAAGATCGAACATTCGATAGATATCTAGCGACACTTTGTATATCATGTTCATAAGTTTTTCACCAAAATTTCACAAAATCTATAAATCCTTCCAGACACAATGGATCCGTCTGATATCATACAAACCAAAGGAAAGAAGTCATGCGCTTTCGAGTGGTAGCAAAAGCAAAAGTCATTGTGGTTATACTAAGGTCATAGAGAGTGATATGAAACCTCGTCACGAGCTGGAACCAGAAAAATTCCAAGAAGAAGAAGTCCCCTTTGAACCTAAACCCACACGTAAAAACCCTCAAAAAGGCGAAAAGTCGACTAAGAAAACGTCGCAACTTCTTTGTCTTTTCGGCCACAAAAATGGTATACAGATTGACCCGATAGCTTTGCCGAGCCATGGATTAAAACAATCGCTCGAACTGTATTTCTCACGAATTTGTTTGCTAAAGTTGCTAAAAGGCCGACGTCGCACTGCACTTGCACACGTAGCCGAAACGAACCTTTTCGACCGGTCTCTATACTCATTCGATTGTATAGGAGGTGAATTGTGAGCGATGATAATTCGGCGATCAGCGTTGGGTGCAGAATCCAGAAGTTTACAGCCTTCTTCGAGTTTTTGATCTTCTGCCTGCAAAAAGTATTTTGCTAAACACATCCGATATTTCTTGAAAAGATAAGAACCCACCGGCTGGTGATCTCCATGATTATTTGTTAGAGTCTGCAATAGAGGGGTATGAACCTAAGGGCACTTCAAAATCTGCCAATTTACCTCGTTGTCATCGTTATACGGGCTATTAGACTTCGGTATGCACGTACAGTCTGCACTGCCTTGCTTACCATTAAGGAATGCTGGTGAGGTAGATCGAGCCAGTAACAATTCCAGTTCTTTCTTACGCTCGTCTTCCTCTTCCTGGGCCTTCTTCTTAGCATCTTCTTCCTAAAAGCAGGGTGTATACGCATGTCTCCAATCCCAAATGCCATAGACTATTGCAGATGTGTTCTACGCCACTTCAAGGAGATCATTTTTTGCATTCAGGGGCATCAGTGAACATGTCGCCCGCAAACATGTTCTTTACTCGATAGAAAAAGAATCACCTGCTGACGCTTTTCCTCCTCTTTACTCTCTTGAAATCCTTCTACCAAGATGGCAACAAGAAGATTAAACAGCACATAGTTCCCGAATGTCATCAGAGCTACAAAGTAAAGTGCAGCCCAAGGATTTGTTTGTGCCATGCCATTGAATAACACCATATTCCAATCTTCTTGTGTGAGAATCTACGTATAGAAAATATCATTATAAAGTTGAAGCGACGTTTAAGATTGAAAGAAGGAAAAGTGAAACTCAACAAAACGCATTACAACGAAAGTAATCTAGTCACAACAAAGAATATTCATTCGTACAGACGACGCACTCATATTTACAAGGATTAATGGAGACAAAAGTACTCCTACCTGGAAAACAGTGGTCACGGCATGAAAAATTGAGTCGAAATTTGTACGGTCACAATCACATTCTTCAGCGCGAATTTCTTGTGTTGAGCATTGCAAGTCAGTTTCATGATGATTACAAAACTTGCAACCAAAAAGCACCATTCCTAGAGTACTGAAAACACAGCAACGATCACAAACACGACATTAAGGACCAGTATTCTCAATGTCTGAAGTCGATGGGTAAGGCTATCCTGATGTGAAAGAGCGAGCACTGAGCACTACATGACTGCATGCACACAAGTTCAACCGTTAGTCGGTGCACATGGTTAGGCAAGGCAAAGAGCAGAAAGGGCTTGTAATGTGTAAAACTAGTGCGGAAACTCACTTGGAAAACAGTGATAAGAGCCCAGAGTAAAGTGTCAAAATTCTTTCGTTCACACTTCTTCGTTGGCCCACCAAGTAGTCGCTCCTCTACTTTGCAGAACTTGCACCCGAATAAGTTCATGCCAAGTATACTGGAAGGCGTTAACTTTAGGAGGTCGGGCTAGATAGTGGCAGAGTTACGGAAGTTAGACTCAGATGTGAAAGGACAGCAAGATTTGTTAAGTACGCATACGGGGCTAAGCATGGTAGCCATACCTGAAAATGAATATGAACAGCACAAGAAGACCGAAGAATACAGTGACGTTGTCCATTGTTCGTAGCATGACAACCAGCTGGTACCGTAGAGCTGGCATGAAGCGCACCAGCTTCAGGATTCGCAGCAGTCGAAAGGTGCGCAGCACCGACAGACCACCCTTTCCTTCTTGAAATAGCTCCAAAACGCTGAAATCGTTGTTTGAATGAGTAGCACCTAGTTGGAAGTAGTGTAAGCCATACCTAAGAGCCACGATGCCGCCATCAAATAGATTGAATCCATCGGACAAGTAACCGAATAAACCATCAGCAAAGATTTTCAAAAACATTTCAAATGCAAAAAGGCCCGTAAAGAATAGATTTGACCATTCCAAGATCTTCGTAAGGAATTCAGGCTGAATCACAATAGATTACGAATACTATCAGGCTATCAAGTCTTCCACCTGCTGATGGTACTCGACACCCATGCTCAGCGTATTGACGAGGATGGCAACTAAGATTCCGCGGGTAAAATGGTCGCAAACCACGAAATGCCGGACTCTTTCACGAAACCAACGCCATTTCGACAGCGGACGCGATTGCTTTTTCACTGCCTAATTGTAATGTGATGGAGATCATATTTTGCAAACCGGCTATCACCTTTGAGTCTTCATTGTCTGACCACTCGTCTTCATTGCCAGAGCATTCGCCGCTTGCCACGTTATTACTGACACGACCTGCAGCTACGTGGGATGATGACACAGCATACAGCAATTTGAGAGGAGCCAACCTGCAGCGCTGCCATTACCAATTTTGTCTTGTTCATCATCAATGGTGACCTTCCGTGGCCGTTTCGTTACCACTGCATCTTCAATCGTTGCGTCAACTTCTAAAATAGGTTCGACATCGTGTTTATACTCGAAGTGTTCGAAAAAGGCCGATCTCTCATGGCGACTCCTAGCATATGTCAAACCTCGATGAAAGTTCAGAAACTTTTGCATAAACTTTTCTTCAATATAAGCTCAGCTATTTGTCTCTGCAAAGAACAGCGAAACATTTATTTCTGCAGAGAATTTTTTGTGCGAGATGCCTCCGAGTTTAAAAAAAGCTTGAGTCGAAACGCAATAGAACACTAACGTAAAGCTTGCATCGGCAATTCTCTTTGCGCTTCAATAGAAAGACACACCCTAAAATACCACCTAACCATTAGCAAAATGTAAAAATTGCGAAAGGCCCAAAATGGGTGCTCTGGGCATCCTGCTCACCAAAATTTCAACTTCTATCTCAAGTTTTTGCAAAAAAAAATGAGCAGCATTTGAAATAACATCGCAATCCACCTTCTTCCTCGTCGGTGTGTTCCTCGATTCGCGATAATGTTGCCATGTCATCCAATTTTGACTTCCTGCGTTTTTTTGCCTCGGTATTCTTCTTCTCCCTCCTTTGTTGCATGTATGCGTTGAATTTCTGAAATTGCAAGCTCCCCCACTGCATTCCAGCGCTCGAATAGAGTATACACTATGCTACTATCAACTGACCCTTTTGACATGGCGTTTGGTCCTTCTAAACGTGTGCCCTATAAATCGCACAATTGCCGCATAAACGGTATCGCCGCCATCCTCTTTCGACGAAGTGCCGCCGAGCTCACTTCCACTGCCAGCTTGAAAAGCATGCGACTTCAGCGTTCAGCTCTAATAGAAGAAGTGGGACCTACAGATCGAGTCGGGACTGCGACTTTGTAGTCGCTTCCGCTCTTGTAACATGCGCTCAGTCTCTCTTCGTTTAGTTTCGGCAAACTGAGTTGCGATTACGACGAGGCACAGATTGATCATGAAGAAAGCACCTATCTGTAAATCAAGATCCGCAAGTAATGGTCATTGAGGTAGTGAGGCATTTGACTTACAACTATTAGTAACACAAAATATATCCAGTTCCAAAAAGAGTGAGCATCTTGTACATAGTACATGATATCTGTCCAGCCTTCCAGCGATATAACCTAAGTAGTGTAGTAAAGGGTTTAGCGGCATTGTTTCCAAACTACAACATCAATTAGTTTGGGACCGTGATGAACCGGACATTTCCCACTTCATCCTGGATGTACATAACCAATCAGTTCAACTTTTGATTTTCCAAGCAAAGACACCGTATTCTTCTCAATCTCGTCTTACAAAAGCTAATAAAGCTTGTCGTTAGTGAATCCAGAAGCAACGTCTAGCCATGAAAAATGGCTTATTTACCGAGTTCTTCAGAATACGAAATGCGCATGCGCGAGCTGTTATCGTTTTAGATGTTGCTGAACTGACAGAAACTACGTATTTTCCAAACAAGGAAGAACGATTACGTGAAAGAAAAACACTCATTTACTCGAATGAGGCAGCAGGAATTCGCGCACGACGACTTTCGCAAGCTCAGGAAACTGGAAAATCTTGAGAAAAAATATCTGCAGCTAAGAGAGATCCGTGCATGATATGCATATGCCAAAACACAGATTGCTAACCTAATGGAGAGCAGGAAAATATGAAGGAACACATCCAACGATACGAAGTTTCGTAACTAGCCTCTCATAAACAGTGAAAATCCAAACTTACAAGAAAGATCGCTACCCATGCGAATCCAATATTATCAAATGATACTGAGCCTTGAAATGGGTTCCGTTGCATAACCTGAAAGTTTTAAGCTTACACTTCTGCACGTAATTGTTTTACACTAATTGAAAGAGAAATTGGCTGTCGGTAGTAATATGACCATAGCCAAGAGTACATGTTACGGAACTCGCGCGTACTAGTTAAGGGCTAACCTGGCACTCGTTGTAGTAGATATTCCAATTAATACACGCTTTATCACTGACTCGATCATAGTCATTTATAGTTAAATTGCACCTAAATATTTCTTGATAGCAAACAAGAAGATTATATGATATAACAAGCTAAAGCTTGCTTCACTCCATCCACTGTATATGGAGGCAGATTGGAGCACGTGTGCAACCCGTTTGCATCTGTTTGACTACATATGTACTCTAGTGAGGTATCCTCGGGAATATAGAACCTATAAGAAAGTTTAATGATTGGCATGAAATTCAAGCTACGAGGTGACTGACCTAGTCAGCTTTACATCATTGAACAGTGCGCTCTGATTCTCTGATATAGTTTTTGGTAGATTGATTACACATCGATTTCTAAAAAAATTCGAAGCATGCTTCTCCTTGATGCTACACGATTAACTATATACAGCCATGAGTCCAAATTCTCACCTTAATAGACCTGCCCAGAGCTGGACTCCAACTATTCCAAATATGAAAAATACAAAAAAACAGAGCAGCAAAACATTGCCCAGCATTGGCAAAGTGTCCAACAAAAGGTTCACTGCAATAGCATGTATTTGATATGTAAAGATTCGAGCAGGGCTTTCAACGCAAAAAGGGAGAGAGAGAGAGAGAGAGAGAGAGAGAGAGAGAG